CTCTCATCTCTTCTCCTGATTATATTTCAGCAGTGTTCACTTCTCTACTTCTTCCCAAGGGAATTTTATTTTTTCTTTTTCTGTGAAAATAAGGAACCAACTTTCATTGGCTCAGGCAGGTTTTTAGAGTGAAAACAAGATTAGCTTGTCTTCAGATTTTTTTATACAAGGGTCTGATTATTTTATTTTGCATTCTTGCTATCAGAGTTATTTTGTTTTTTATCAACAAAGCTTATCTTTTTTTTTTTTTTTTTTTTTGAGACAGAGCCTCAAGCTGTCCCCCTGGGTAGAGTGCCGTGGCATCACACTCACAACCACCTCCAACTCCTGGGCTCAAGCGAGTCTCCTGCCTCCGCCTCCCAAGTAGCTGGGACCACAGGCGCCCGCCACAACGCCGGCTATTTTTTGGTTGCAGCCGTCATTGTTGTTTTGGCGGGTCCGGGCTGGGGACTCGAACCCGCCACCTTAGGTGTACGTGGCTGGCGCCTTAGCCGGCTGAGCTATAGGCGCCGAGCCAACAAAGCTTATCTTATTAAAATAATATTGACCTTTCAAACAAATCAGGGATTCTAAGGAATGTCATTGAGTGTTGATATATTTACGAAAAGCTTTACATGGTAACTAAGAAATCCTGTGTCAGGAAAGGGAGAACATAAGGTAAATGTGATCATGATTTATCATATAATGTTTAAATGTGGTCATTATGAAGCTTTCACTGTAAGATTAAGATGTATGTGTATATTGATTACAGAAATGCGTTCTTCATTATATGTGCAGAATTATATCTTGGGAAAGTTCTCCCCAAGCCTTTTACTAGTTAAGCCATCTTTTCAGCTATACGCACATAGATGAAATTTCATCTCTTCAATACTTTATGAGAGAGTAGGTTGGCTTGAATATGTTATAAATGAAAAATTTTCTCCCAAATTTGTTTTTCTGTTCTAACTGGTTCTCTAAACTCAACTAGGTTAGATCTGTACTCATTCAGTTCTAGGTAAGTTACAAAATAAAGTTAACTAGGTATGTAGGATGTCATTCATGAACATTGGATATTGACCAATTCATAAACTCAGCCAGGGAACAAGGGTGAGATTTTTTTGAACAAAAACCTGAAAGTCAGAACAGTTATTTCTTGTGTTTAAATCTCAGAAGAACTCCAAAATCGTTTACAAAAATAGGTTCTTAAATTTATAACAAAGTATAAAACTAAAGACTATGACATTAGTTATAAAACAAGAAACAAAAGGGAAATATTTTTAAAGAAATTTTAAAGTTGTTCTCTAATATATTGGCTTCATATATTTATCAGACTAAGGTACACATTTTAAACAAACAGGTCAGCCAACTTAAGAGGAATTTAGAAGTGAATTGTTTTTGACATAATTCTCAGAAATTAATGGTCATTTAACTGCTATAATCCAATCCAAAGGTGGTTACAATTTCTGAAACAAAGTTTCAAGGAAGCTCACAATGTGGCAGAAGGCCAAATCTTAACTGTTACCCTTGAGTTACACTGCAGTGACAGTACTCTTTGTGTCTGTTTATAAAATGTAAGATTTGGTTTTTGGCAGGTGGTGATGGTGGTATTCCTTTGTTTGTTTGAGACAGAGTCTTACTCTATCACCCTGGGTAGAGTGCTGTGGGTCACAGCAACCTCAAACTCCTCGGATCAACAAATCCTCTTGCCCCAGCCTGCCGAGTAGCTGGCACCTGCACTACGCCCAGTCATTTTGTTTTACTATTTTTAGTAGATACAGGGTCTCTTTCTTGCACAGGCTGGTCTGGAACTCCAGAACTCAGGCAATCCGCCCACCTCTGCCTCTCAGAATGCTAGGATTACAGGTGTGAGCCACCATGGCCAGCCTAAAAATTAAGATTTGGAATTTCTTTTGATATAATTGATTTTTCACTCCTTTATGCAGCACTCAGCAGTTGTTTATTGACCACGTACCCTGTACCAAACACAATACTTTTTGTACTAGACTAAGTTGTAGAGGAGTAAAATTAACAATAATAACAAATTACTTGACATTAAAGGCCTGAATTTGCTAGCAGAGAAGGAAGATGTGGACCAGCATTTTTAGCATGAATCTCACTCAGTGTTCACAATGACCCTGTGTAGTAGGGGTATGTGTAAACCATTGCACAGATAAGGAAAATGCAGTTCAGGGAAACTCAGTAATTTGCCAAATAGCACCCACTTAGGGAAAGGCAAGATCAGGAGGAAAGCCCAGTGTTGTCCAGCTCTTAGCCTATGCTTTAATGACCCACTGTAAGCTTCCTGATGCTACATTTCTTAGGGATGAAACCATGACCTCTGGGGTGTAGGAAGGAGGTGGTGTCACAAAGGAGGTAATATTTCAAGGGCATCTCCAACTGAGCTGTTACCAGGCAGTTGCAGCAGGAAGAGACTGTTGGGCAGTGTAGCACAGAGAAATACATTCCAGGCAGGTTGTGTGGAGCAGGTCCAAGTGTGTGAAAGAGGATGGAGGGCATGTTTGCCAAAATGCAGGTGATCTGAAGGTGGGTAGAAGTGCCCTGCTACAGGCCTGTGTACCATATGGATTTCATCCTTTAGGTAGACACTGGGATAGAGGTAGGATTACAGTCAGGTGGCACTTTAGAGAACTGGAAGCAGGGAGCAAGTTATCAGCTTTGTGCTTTAAAATAACTCTGGCTGGAAGTGTGGAGGGTGGGTGAAGGGAGGCTGTAGAGGTGGGGGTGGGGGTGGTGAAACTGGAGGCAGGGAGCACACTGCCTTGTTCTCCAGGAATGGTGAGTAGGCCACCAATAAAGTCTGTGGCAGGGGAACAGGGGGGTGTGGCAGGTCCAAGTATTGAAGCCTTGTTGAACTTGGAGAGGAAAGGAAGTGTGTGAGATGGGGGATCTGGATAGAATGATGGTCAGATTGCTGAGTCAGGGAGCTGGGAGGGTGGTGACCAGTCTCTGATGGAATTCCAGAAAGAGGAGTGGGTTGGGGTGAGGAAGTAAAGCCTTCTGTTTCAGATGTGATGAGCTTGCTGGCCATTCCACTAGAAGATTATCAAGAAGTGTTTAGAGACTGGGTGCAGTGGCTCACACCGGTAGCCATAGTGTAAGGGCCAGACCAGCGCCATTTTGTTGTCTACTGCATAAGCTCTGTTCCTAGCCTCTCCACCTCCCTCCACCCCAACCACTAGGTAAAACCCGCAGGGCCATCCCTGCTGCCTCCTCCACACCTGCTTGCACAGCCATTGATTGAGACACCTTAGGCAGACAGCTGCCTTAATAGGCAATAGGTTTCAATTCCCTTGAACAGCTGCCATAATAGGCAGTAAGTTTCAGTCTCCTAACAGCTCCCATAATAGGCAACAGGTTTCTACTTCCTTGAAATCCAGGTATTCTCCTTCAACTACCTAATTAGGCTACACCACCTCTAGCCCCGGTTAAGAAACCTCCCACCCCTCACCTGAACCAATCCAAATTCTCCTTTACTAGTGAAATCATCAACCACCAATGCAAATCCTCCTTTACTAATGAAATCACCAACCACCAATCAAGAGTGTACTCATAAGGGACCCTACCCTTCTTGCTTTCTGTACCGCATAAAAACTTGCTCTACCCCGAGTTTGGGCTCGTCCTCCGCTTGCATGACAGGAGAGTCCAGGCTTCCCGGGGCCTGAATAAAACTCACCTCGTGCTTTTTATATCGGAGTGTGTCTCAGCTTTGTCTGCTGGGGCCTTTTGGGAGGATTTCGGGTATAACAATAGCACTCCAGGAGGCCAAGGCGGGTGGCCTGCTTGAGCTCAGAAGTTTGAAACCAGTGTAAGCAAGAGCTTTAAGACTGGAAAAAAACAGCTGGGTGTCAGGATGGGGGCCCATAGGCGCAGCTAGTTGGAAGGCAGAGGCAAGAGGATTGCTTGAACGGAGGGAGTTTGAAGTTGCTGTGAGCTACAATGATGTCAAGGCACTCTACCCAAGGGAACATAGTGAGACTGGGTCTCAAAAAAAAAAAAAAAAGAAAGAAAGAAAAGAAAAGAAAAGAAAAAGAATGTTATTAGTAATATCTGATCTGGGATGTCATCATCTCATGAAGGTCCCTTTCCAAAGCCATCTTTTACTTTTTACCTATCTTTTCCAGGGCGCTGAGCCTGGAAAAAAGCTTTTAAGGCTTACTTTTTGTTTAAATCAGCCAATTCAGAATAAACCAAAATTATATCAAAGGGTCATTTATATTAAAAACAGGCTAAGAGTAGTCTGACTGTGATCGCCTAAAAACTGGAACATAAGTATTCACGTTGTGAAGATTTCTTTGGAAAACCCCTGTGCTGCTTCAAAGGCGAGGGAAAAAAGGTAAATAACATCTGCAACCCAAATCTGGCTTACCAGAGTGATTTGTCTGCCGGCCTACCGACTGGTGACAGCAGCGCACCTCCTACCTCTTTCTAGCTGCCAAGGTTTATTCTTCCCTCTGAGGCTGAATCCTCAGGGAACTGAGTGGAGTGCAGGGTTTAATAAAGACCTCTTTTAAGGGGTTGAAATCCGTAACTGGAATTGGATTTTGGATCAACCTTCAGGTAACGATGCAACTGGTGTGCCTCAGTTTCCCCGTCTGTCTAGTGAGGGTCACTGTGGGGACTGTGTGAGATTACACAGAGTGTGGACCAGCGCCCGGCGTGTGGCACACGCTCAGCATTCAGGAGTCACAATTACGTCCGGGGTTTCCTTCTGCGCCCACTTGGCCTGTCCTAACTGGTAGCTTAATAAATATAAATGGCATCAGAACGTGGGGGGACAGGGGCCACGTGATCGCACCACGAAAGCCACTTGTAGGGGCCTTCAGAGAGTTAGCAACACGGCTGGAGGAGAAGCCGGCGCGCCCGCGGCCCG